CTCCAGAACTGGTCAGAACCTGCTGAATACCAGCTCTTCTATGGTACCCTGGTGTATTCTCACAAAAAGTCTGTTTTAGGAATGATTACATATGTCTTTTGGTTTGGCTTAGGTTCTCTTTTTCCTAATATGAAACTCATGTTTCTATAGCTCACAAATTATCTGTTAGACTATCTCACCAATCTATGAGGTTGTAGATTTGTGAAATAATCTGACAGATAATTTGTCGTGGAATATTATAAATTTGCAGATGAAGCTGCTCTTGAAAACCTCTTTGGAAACTTAAACTTGTAGTTGTGGAGAATACGTGTAGCTCAGGTTGAATTGTTGGGTTCTTAGCAAGCTTTTTTTTTTTTTTTTTCTTCCTTTCAGAGATTTCATTTCCAGGCTAATTTTTCCCAGGCAGCCCAATGTAGCCCACAGGAACTAGAATTTTAACTAGTGCAGTTTGATGAATGACCAACATTATACTTCCTTCGAAGTCATGCCCCCTATTTTTAACATAAAATCATTGGTTATTGATTCACTTTAGAGTCAAATTCAAAGTTTTGGTTTTGTACTAAAATGTTTTGCTTGTTTTGCAAGTTACTCTTCAGGACTGTGTCCTCCTGTAATAATAACCTGTCTGAACATCAAGATTATTCAGCAAATGGAAATTACCTTTTACTTCTGGAGCATTTTAGTTATGGAATTGTCTCTCCAAAAGTATACACTCTTCCTTGTCCATATTAGTCTTCTCTAGACTTAACAGCTTTTAGATGTATAGAAATTACAATTTTCAGAATGTCCAGCCCATCTGGCCATCATTCAGTTACTGGTTGAAGATGTTTTTCTTTATTTCACTGGAAGAAGGCCACACTTAAAGCACTGGAAATTATACCTTCAAGTATGGTTTACCTGAATCAGTACTGTCTTATTTCTTTATTGAATTTAAACGTCTTTTGGGGTATTTTATTGCTTCTTTTCATTCTGTGTTAAAAATTGCCTTTGAATTAATATTAGCAAGAGGTAGACCATGTCAGAGAGAGAGGAAGGGAGGGAGGGAGGGAGGGAAGGAGGGGGATGGAAGGAAGGAAGGAAGGAAGCGGAGGGGAGGGAGGGAGGGAAAGGAAAGGAGAGGAGAGGAAAGGAAAAGAAAGGAAAGGAAGACAAAAAGAAAGAGCTAGAGAGATATTAATAGAGGGAGAAATAGTGGGAAAAGAAGAAAGAGAAGAGACAATATGTAAGGGGGGAAAAGAAGAAAATATGCCTTTTAAATATTTCTCCCTTTGGTCTTATTCACCACTTGAATCTGACTTTTCTCAAATTGTCACAAAAGCGTATGGGTCCTAAAAAGGCAGGTAAACATGAAAGAAAGAAGATTGGTTCCCATGTCTGATTTAGCAGCTGCTCCTTCAATTTGTTCTTATATACCTCCTCACTGGCACTACGCAATCCTTTTTTATGGATAAATTACTGTACGGCTCAATTTTAGTGAGCTTCAGTTGAAACTTCTACAGCCGAACCTTCATTGAAATTCCTGGCTGATGCCACACACAAATCAGATAAAATGAAGTAAGAGGATTTACTTCACCCACCAGTGAGAAATCCTGGAATTACTGGAAGACAACTTTGTCCAATAAAGCAACAGGTTTACTGCATGATGAAAATAATGCAAAAGAGCAACTATTTGTCCAAACCTCTGACAGTTTATTGGGGCAGTAAAAACAAATGAGCTACATCAGCTCTAAATGTCTATGGAGATTCTCAGTCATTCAGGTTATGGCTGTCTCAAAAATACTTTTTCAAGAGGCGGCTGGACTTTCTGGTTTTTCTTCGAAGACGTTTCGCTTCTCATCCAAGAAACTTCTCAAGCTCTGACTGGATGGTGAGGAATGGAAGGATTTATATTCCTTGCTAACAGCTGGTCATTTGCATCCTTTTGGAGGGTCTTTGGGGACACTTGGAGGTTTGTCTGAGTCCTCAGAGTCACCTGAGTAGTGCAAATGGGTGTGGAGCAAAATAGGTGTGTTGAACTACTCAGGTGACTCTGAGGACATAAATAAACCTCCAAGTGGCCTCAATGACTCTCTCAAAAGGATGCAAATGACCAGCTGTCTCCAAAGAGCATAAATCCTTCCATTCCCCATCATCCAGTCAGAGCTGAAGACGCTTCTTGGATGAGAAGTGAAACATCTTCAAATAATAACAAGAAAGTCCAGTTGTCCCTTGAAAAAGCACTTTGGAATGATCAGGTCCAAAGACTACCTGGAGGCAGCGGTTGGAGAGATGATAGAACTTTGGATTCCATGAATACAGGAAACATAAGACACTTTTGGCCGCTACCAATGTCACAATTCTTTTCATTGGTATACAGGTAGTCCCTGACCTATGACCACAATTGAGCCCAAACCTTCTGTTGTTAAGTGAGACATTTGTTAAGTGAGTTTTGCCCCATTCTATGACTTTTCTTTCCATAGTTGAATCTGGCTTCCCCATTGACTTCGTTAGAAGGTCATAAAAGGTGATCGCATGACCATGGGATATTGCAAACGTCATAAATATGAACCAGTTGCCAGGCATTTGAATTTGGATCATAGGATCATGGGGATACTGCAAAGGTCATCCCTGTGAAAAACGGTCACAAGTTACATTTTTCACTGCTGTTGTCACTTTGAATGGTTACTAAATGAACTAAAGGACTACCTGTAATGTGGAGAACCTGTAACCATAGCTGGGGGTTTCCTAACATTTCATGCTTAGACAAAATGTTTGGGATCCTAGCTATTTTTTGTTTTTGTTATTGAACAAAAGAACTGAATGAAAAGATTCAACCTTTTTATGAACATTGGAATATGTTGGCATGACTTCATGTGCTTCATGGGGACATGACCACCACCTGAATATTTTAACTATAAGCTGAGCCTATTTGTAAAATCTACACTGATCCCTATACAAAGTTTGGCAAGAGCATGACTCAAGCTGGTGAAAATTGTGATTTTAGAGCAGCACAACTGGCATAGATAGGATCAAAGAGGACTACCTTATACAGAATGCAAATAAGAAACTGAAGATGAGGATGACCATGAAGATGAAGATGAAGTTGATGAGTGAAGGCCAGGATGAGGATGATTACTACAGCTTGTTCCAGTTGTGTACGCTGATTCTTCCAGAGATCACTGTAGTACAAAAAAATAGCATTTCAACACAAGCACTGGTCAAAACCATACAACAAGGCTCCATGTGGGTAGAGTCAACACTTCTAGTAATGCAACCTAGCCCCAATCTGGCAACCTCAAGAAGTGTTGGGAAAGTTAGGATGGGAAAATTAAGGTTAGTAATTCTATTGTCTATTATTATTATTATTATTATTATTATTATTATTATTATTATTATTA